TAATGATATGTAGGGCTCGACGTTCTAAAAACACTATATGATTAGCTCATAACTTGAATTAACAGTTACGAATTAACAGTTAGCAAACAAACATTCAAATAAAGTTCACTATATGGCATACAAGCCGTCACTCAATGTTCGCACGTCGAAACCAATCTGCTTAGTGGCGGACACGATTGATTGATTGATTTGTGGGGTTTAACGTCCCAAAACCACTATGTGATTATGAGAGACGCCGTAATGGAGGGCTCCGAAAATTTCGACCACCTGGGGTTCTTCAACGTGCACCCAAATCTGAGTACACTGGCCTACAACCATTCCTCCTTCATCGGAAATGCAGCCGCCACAGCCGGGAGTTGATCCCGCGACCTGCGGGTCAGCAGCCGAGTACCTTAGCCACTAGACCACCGTGGTGGGGCATAGTGGCGGACACGAACACTTCGCCTTAGCAGAGGTGATTCTGGCGACTCGGATGCCGGAGCCGGTCCGGAAGTCTGTAGCAAATTTTTGTATACTTGCTGGCACGCATGTGCTCATTGCGGCAATTTGTTGTGCTATTATGCGTCGTTGGTATCTGTTTCGGTGTGCGTTTCAGGCAAACAAAATGCGTCGCGGTGGGTAGGCTGCTGCCGTTGCGTCGCAGTGGAGTTCGGCGTCATCTATCTTGTGGGAATATGTTTTGAAGGTACTTTAAAAAGTAGTGGCATTCCACAAGGATTCGCACCTCAAGAGTGCAAGCAGTCGGCATATGTAAATCGGTGCACATCACATACTTTCACCACGTACGTCACCACACTGACAACCTGGGTGAACACACATTCTTCCCAGGTGACGCCTTCGCAACAACCAATTTTCAATATAACACTGTCTTCCACAACACATACTTCCTCACTCTAAACCCATCGCGTTTGTTTGTCATGCATGCTTTTCGTGAAGTTCGCTTTATGCAGTGACAAATATTCGAGTGGTTAGCGTTCCAAAATACTCACACCACGTTCCCGAAGAGAATCCTTATGGGATGCGAAGCGACAGTGTTGCGCACGGGTGGCGTCACGGGTTGAACGGCGCTAACGCGTGTGCTGTGATTAGCGCTGGAAGAATGGTTTGAAGCGACGGCTGGCAGATGGTTCTAGGTGGATGTTTTGCCGGGCGAAGGAGCGTCGTCTTCTGGCGTCCTCTTCCCTGAGCCGATTGTTACCACTCTATGTGTGCTCGAGCGTTGCATGTGGTGGCAAGAGTGAACCAAAAGAGAGGTGACACGTACAGGCATGCAGTAGGTACACGTCATGTTCATTGTGCGTGAACCGACGAGTCAGCGCTATAGCGACCGGCGGTCGCTTTGTCTTGTGGGTGAATGGACGAGGCAGCAGCTGCGGGTGCTGTGGCGAGCGTGCAGCAGGCGAAGGAGAAAATGACATTAGCGCGCACTGCGAGAATAGCGTGTCGACAACGTGTGGCTGCGGGGTGACCTACGTGCCCTTGCTCCATCATCTGCGGCGAGATGAGGGCGTTGCAGCATGTTCGTATGGACGTATGGAGGGACAGCGTTACACATGCTATTCAAAGTGCCGTTTCGCATTTGAAATACTTCAGCGGGCTATTTGACTGTGACACTGCTTACTGTGTTCTGGTGGGCCATGGGGAAGCTATCAATACTTTCATGCATCCTAGACTGCTGGCACGAGACCTCATTTTCAAGCACCTGCTTCAGTGAGGCATTTCTAGTTTGAACCGTTCGTTCTACAGCACCACTAAATGCTCCGTTATAGACGGAAGAGAATAAGAACGTGTTTCACGCCATTGGTCTTCAAAAAATCAACAAACTCAGCTGGTGTTAACTGGGGCCCATTGACACTGACCATGCCTTCTGGCACACTGTGTGTAGCACAGCTATCCAGTAGTTCTCGAAGGTTTCTTGCGATGACGTTAACAATACCGACCACATTTCAATCCATATTCAACGTGAGTCAACTAGTATAAGTAATGCATTCATCCATTTTTATCAGAATATTTGTGCGCGCGTGATAAATGCGCAGAATAGTGCCCCAGATGAAGCGGAGCTTGCTGTGCAGCTGGCTGTATTGCGTGGCTAATCTTGCATCTCTGCACGTATTGTTCAATGTCGAAATCGATTGCTCGCCTCCAGACGAATCTTCTGGCTAACAATCTCATGTGGCTTGTCCATGGTTGCGCCTCATGTAGCATGTTTAGCACGCGCTCCTGCAGCTGCTCTGGAATTACAACTCTTGCCCACACGTCACACATCCCTGCTCAAGTGCTGCCTAGGCCACCGGTCAGGCGTGAACTGAGCCAGACGGCTGAATTTGAGGTTCCCAAGCTTCGCTTTGGGAAACTTGCAACCTCGTCTGCGGTTAGTGGGAGGCACTGGAAAATTGACAAGCACTCTGGAGCCTCATCTTTAGCGACTCCAGGTTGGGGCAACACAGACAAGGCGTCTACCGCTTCTAGATTGTTACCTCTTCTAAACTCAGGCGATACCGGTAAACTGCAAGCGTCATGGCTCAACGTCGCATGCGTGCGGCAGCTACAGATTGAATACGCTTAACGTTCCCTATTACCTCTAGCAGCGTGTAGCGACTGAAAAGCTGTGTATATGGTGAATTCTCGGCCGTGCAGTTAACGGTGGAATGTCGTCAGGCCCAATATTTCAGCAAAGCTTTGCGCTTGTACTGAGCATACTCTCGTTCTGCTTCTGTCAGTGTACGCGACGCAAAGAAGACAGGATTTTAATCACCTTCGGCTTTCTGTTGAAAAATGAGAGCACCAAAGCTGCTTGTCAACGCATCGCAAAGCATTGCAGGTGGTTTTTAACATCATAAAACATCAACACTTTGCTCCTTATCAGCAAGTGTTTCGTAGCTTCAAAATTATTGCGGCATTTTTCGTCCATACTCATTTTTTATTTTTTTTCATTAGCCGGTAGAGCGGCTCCGTTACTGTCGAGGCATCTTGAGGAAACCTGAAATAATGTTTCCACATCCCCATATACGCCTTAAGCCCTGTATCTGTAGTGGGCTCTGGTGCTAGCATCTTTTAGTCTGAGGGGTAAATGACTAATATACGTAACTAATATATTGAAAAATTGGCGTTTAACAGTGTTGAGAATTACGATCTATTTGCGAAGTCTTTGGAAGATATGTTCTAGTGTTGCCTGGCACTCGTCAGTGTCACACCCTGTCATTATCTCGTCGTCATATGGCATCTAACGTGGGGGGTGGCTTGAAGCGGCTCATCTATCATCGTTTGAAAGTTATTACAACATTGATTTCTAAGGTTACGTGGGATCTGCCAACTTTTTTGAGACAAGGTGTAATGAAGCGGTATGTTCCGGCATGTTCACGAGCGAGAGGAAACAAAAACAGAACAAGAGTGTCGGTGCACAGTAGATGATTTTTAGTACATAGTTGTAAGCTGTAAGAAAGAGGTCTACAAGAAAGAGGCACTCTTGACAATAAAATTTACAAGAGCACCTCTTTCCGGTCAACTTTGTTGGCACAATGATTGTACGTGGCGATACCACCAAAAAACCTGTAGCCTCGCTACAGGTTTCTGTAGCTTCGCGTTTCGCAAAAATAATAAACGAATCGTCTTTTACAGGCTGTGTCTGGGAACGCGTTTGTCCCTTTCTGTTAGGGCTCCCGGCAAAAACCTCTCAAAAACGCTAGTTTTGTCGCATGCTGCAACATCAAGTGCGTTAAGTGTTGTGTGAACTTTTATTTCTTGAAAGTGCTGCGTGCAGGTCGCAAAGTGAGGACTACCTGAATTTGACTTGATTTTACTGGCCATGCTAAGCCCGAAATCGCGCTGTTTAGAATGCTGTGTTTTATCCACTACAAACGTGCCTACGAACTCGCGCAATCAATGCCCCCGCGACGATACTAAAAATGAACCTAGCTAACGCCGTGGCCTGACTTTTATGCCGGTAACCGTTAAACAGCCCGTCGGTTAGTCTCCCGGGCAGATCACAGAAGCCATGGTAGTACTGACAAAACTATGACGTAACATACTTCCGTCATCGGTGGCCCTGAAAGCATATGAAGATACTCGCATCTCTCATACGCCCTTTCTAGTACAGCAAAACGCATCCAGTTCCGTTATACTAAAAGCGTTGAAGCCTGCACTTGCTGCGTTTGCAACGTGCCACTGACAGCGTAAAAAACTTCAGGATATGCCTCAACTAAAAGCGCGTAATGCCTCGACGCTGCGCGTTAATCACGGCAGAAAAAACGCTTCTCAATGTGCCCGGGACGAAAACGTTCAGTGGTTCTATGAATCGTGATGGCTGCCAGCCTATCCATGAGGGCGTTTTGTATTTGCTCTGTCAGTACTGTGTATTTTGTTGACTGTTTTTTTTCGTGCTTAAGGAGACGTTACATAAATTTCACGGCTTTGGCGATTGCATAGATGACCGACGTTGTCGTGTCTGCGTATAGGTGAGTTGGGAGCCCACATGCAGGATGCCTCTGCGTGACCATGCTGGCTATAATCATGAGCTGTCGCTACCCTCAAATGAACTCACGCCAGTAACCCTTACCGTTACTGTTATGTCGCAAGAGTTTGGCTGCGGCCAGCACATTGAGTACATGACAAGTTGCTGCTAAGCGTTCACTTCACGAGTAAATTGAGCCATGGTAGCATTTGGGGACAGAAGAGTGTTTCGCGTAGCCTAGGAGAGTGTCGGTTGGGACTAAAATTGAGGCGTACAGAAAATTATTCCAATTTAGTAGAAGCTAGAGAAACCATGCCCCATTATCCACTGGTATTAGCTTAGCTTCTTGAAAGTACTTTTTCAGATGTCTTTGCCCCAAAACGACCGGTCAGGTTGGCTGCGTAGCTTTAATGCGTGTACAGCACATCATAGCCTCCAAAAAGAAGCTCTCAAAAGGCGAATGGTCCGGAAATTTTTTAAGTGTAAATTTTGTTGCACAAATATTATTACGCAGCCTATTGCCATGAGTAAGTAAGTAAAAAAAACTTACATTTGCAGAGATATTCCTGCGAACCTACGTAAGGTGGATGAAAGAAGAGCAGTTGTTTCTGTGAAAGTTGATAGAAATACCAAATAGGCATGAAAGCCTTGTATGCTAATTCGTAACATAACTTTTTTCATGCTTCATTTTTTAGTAGACTGATCGTGTGTGTTGTCTTCTGCATCCATTGAGTCTTCTTTACCAGCTTTTTTTAATAAGTTAGAGTGATGCATATGACTACGTAATAAGGAAGAATGCCTAGCTGACCTGACGCAATACTTTTAGAATTATTTCTTATGACCCAGTGTGAACGTGCAGTCTTTTATTTTATCCTGCGCTGGCAAAAAATACCAGTGCTCCACAATATAATACAGAAGTTCTACATTTCTTTTGCGTTAGTTTGCCTTTTAAGAATTGCTTAACATTTCATATATTCTGAAAAGTTGTCTACACTGCGAACTTGTTGCAAATCTCGACAATTTTTAAAGCTTGGTGTATTTGTACATTTTAAAAGTATCTATGCATAAACCCTTTTTTTCGCCGACTTCCTAAGCTAGTGAAGAAAACTGAATACGATACTTGTATGCATACTTGTAGGAAACTATGGATATTGAAGAGGAAAATATTCGTAAAGAAAATAAAAATACGGTTACATTATTCACTAGTTGTCCGACAAAGTCAACTTGCCATTACGTTTTCATATCTTTTAGCATAATTCTCAGCAGCTTTTTGCTAGCAGAATAGTTACTAAGGAGAACAGTATACTTCATCACAAAGAAGCGTGAGTGTTAACGAACTTGGCAAACATTTCTTCTTCAAAGCTCTGACTTGTATACCCTGTGCAAGGGAAATCTATTTTTTGTCGTCAACAATAACGTAGGCGATTAGTAGAGCAAATATATATCTGTGATTTAGATTACGGTAGCGAAACATATCACATGCCATAAACTGATTATTGAATCATCAGTGATTTTAAATTGTTTCAAGAGTTACATCATACTTTACGTAACCCGCCCACAGTATAAAAAAGAGAATATACCCAACTCTTTCCGGAAGATTTTGACTTGCGACGTATACGACTCTTCTTACATAGACAGGATGACCCTCTTGTGGGGTCAGCGTCGGTGCACTCTAGGAGAGGTCCCTGGCCCTCTTAGGCAGTGTGCAAACGCTCTATTTCGAAGGATCACACTACCAATTCTTAGGGAGTCAGGTGACTTTTGCCGGTGACGCTCCTACGTACACCAAGCGACTGTACGGCTATTTAAAGCTATTCAATTGAGCATGCTCTCATTTGTGCCATTTCTGCTGGCAGTAGTGAAGTAATCTTTGTAAAACAACTATAATATTACTCCCCGTTGTGTCCAGGAACTGCAAAAGAATTGTAGCTTGAATTTAGCAGTATTTTACCAATACTGGTCTAAACAAAAATTTTCAGCAGAGCGCAATAAGGTTGCCTGTGTATTCCAATGAGTTCATTCAGATTTACACCCTTTTCTGAGTAATAGTCAACCAAAACATGTAAGATGTACATAGTGTCGAGTCGCGCAAAATGTACTACGGATATGAGCATAACGTTTGCACATTTTTGCCTTATGATTACGAATGAATAAAAAACTCGTGATGGCTGGAGGCATCAGACTTGTGGCTTTATATATTGTCGCTCTTCTTCAGCGTCAACATTCATGAAAACAGGAACCAGAAAAAAGAACACGGTAACAAGGTGAAAAAAAGAATCATATAGCGTTGTCAAAACCTACTCAAAACGTTACATACACAGACATAAAGCAGATTCACAACAAAGCAACAAATGCAAACTACCACAGTAAACGGGTACATTCAGATAAAGCAAGGTGTTTTCCTAATAGAAAAACTATGAAAATAGGAGTTTGCAAAGGCTTTCAGAAATACCCTCCAGCCCACGCCCCCCCCCCCTCACCCAACTGAGAAACGTCCTGGCTCTACGCACCTTCTTGTACGCATTAAAGCAATTTTTTTTATAAGTCTTTTCATATATTTCAACAACCATGCCCATTCTCTGGCAGTCAGGGGCACGCCGTGAAAGATTACCGCTCGCGTTATTTACAAACATATCCTATTCTCAAATACTCAGTTAAACAAATTAGAGCACAAGCGCTCAAACCAAACCAATAAGCGTGGATCCCGTTGACGTCAGCCATGGCTTATTCTCGAGCTACCACTCATAGCTCGCAGAGTTACGTAGACTCACTCAATTTTATTATAACGACCAACGTCTTAGCAGATGGGAGCAAAGCATGAACACAGCAAAGAAAAACGAGAAAACAAACAGAGCACAGTGGCAGCCGCAACAACGCGCGCCATTTGATGTCGAGAGCTTTTCCTGTCACAAGCGAGACGTGTGCTAAACATTATCAATGACTACCGCGTACGTGCTGGCAGCAATGCATTCTATTTGCACTTCAAACTACCATCTTTGGGCCAGCGAAAGCGATTTTGTACAGTGCGTCTCGGCACAGTGGTGTTTTTCCCTGAACGTTTCCACTCGCAAAAGCAGGCTGCGCCCTCAAGTATCGTTAAAAATGTTATTACGGTGCAACCTCAAACGCATCTTAAAACGATATCATGCCGTTTCAGCAGTGTAGAGACAATGTGCGATCAGCTACTAAACACCCTTGATAAGTGATGAGTGGTGAAATCGTTTCCATAACAATGCGCATGGTGGTGTTAACTCTTCAAGTGGCAATTTTTACTGGCAATCTGCAACAACCTGCGAACACATGTTACTGTTGGAAATGGCTGGCAGCCTACATTTGCAGAGCTGCTCAGACGCCCACTTAGCGCTGTGCGGTTAGAACTTCCGGAAAAATGGGCAGATTCCACTTGCAGTGGGAATCAATGATTTAGAATCACGAATGAGAAAGGTTGATATGCCACTTTAAAATCAGCAAATGTTACCAGGTGGAGGCAAATGATGCCTTACATGACTTTCGGGTCATGATTATTATGCTCAGGTGTGTCGTTTACCTTCGTCATCTACACACGTCACGTGATACCAAATTTCTTATATGTGAAGATAGCAAATCGGCCGCGAGCACGCTATGAGCGCGGTATGTCGTGATGTTCTTACATGACACGCTTCTCAGGATTATTATATTTACACCAGTCATACACTTTCATTATCCATTGACGTCACGTCGCACCAACTTTGGTGTATGTAGAGCGAGCGGAACAGCCGCGAGCGCATCATGAAGGGCATATTATGATCGAATGTAGCGTTGACTCAAGCGCACGCTGGACACAGCGACGCTACGTTAGCAAAACGCGAGCACTTTACAGTCTGGATTCTTCACGTGACCTCCGGCGCTGACGAACGTGCTACGCATGTGCCCCATTTTCTCCCTGTCATTCGGAGGTACAGGCAAGACATCATCCCTGTCATTAGGTTCCCTTCGCTCACAAAGCCACTGAGAACGTTTCGAGCCTACCTCGACACCTGTGAGTGCGACATCGATCAATTTTCCACCAGTTTCAATCTTCGGACGAGTGGCAGCCAGAGATGCACATAGCGTTCCTTAGCCACGGTGCATCTCCCGCCGCTGAGGTGTCGGCGTTCGATGGTGGCTGAACGGAGAACAGTAGCGTTTCTTTTTTAATGATCGCCGATCCGATAGACTCTTGTTCGCGTTCCGGCCCATTATGCAAGTGTGTGGAAATATTTAGCCTCCCTGTCGTCGTACACGCCTAAGGCGCGTACAGTTTTGCTATGGAAAATTCCATTGACCAGCCAAAGGAAAGTTACGGAGAACACTGTGAACAAGGCTGCTGCAGCAGCTATGGACACGACTCCAACTGCACTCACCAATGATGACACAACATCCCCCTCCAACGACTATGGCACTGCTTGGGTGCCTGTGCAGAAGAAACGACGCACACAAGCCGATCTGTTGGCCTTTGAGCCGAAGCAAGGAACTCAGACGTGTGAACTTCAAGGCGACACCACTCAACGTAAGCCAACGAGATCGCGGCCACCAGCCTTGCCTCTTCACAACTACAAAGCCATCCTACGCCCACTGGGAGGCCTACGCTTGAAAAAATGGACTCGCCCCACACTGACGCGGGCTATTGGAGTTGCCGCAAGCCTAGCTCTAGCTGAATTCGACCGACTACTTTTCCGCTTGCGCCTTGAAGAAAACCTCGCTGTTGTAAGCAAGCCACATGAGCACATCGCGCTAAATCTCTAGTGTCCAGCACATCCGTCTTTGTGAGCATACCTATCCTGTGTCCTTTTACAATGCCACTCCCAAAAATTCGTGTGAAGGCTTTACCAATGGCGGCAACCCGGAAACAAGCCCATCCGAACTTATGGATCATCTCGTTATCCCTGGCCACACTGTTCTACAGACAAGAATGATGGGTAAAACGAGCACGGCCCTCATTACCTTCTAAGGACTGCAGGTGCCACGATACATACGCTATTACGGCGCTGAGTATCGGTGCTACGTGCATCATCCCGCAAGCGAATTTACAATGTTTGTCTCCGGTTAGTACATCGTTCTGACAACTAAGTGGTTGGTGTAGGGTAGTTGCACCTTGTGACAACTACCCTACACGAACTTCCGTCACATGCAGCACGTGTGGCCTTGAAAACCTGACACCGCGGCACTCATGCTCGCCGAAGTTCCGTTTATGCGGATGCGATCACCCCACCACTGACACGGCCTCTCACGCCCTCGTTCGGCCTCTCTTTAACGAGCAACGGATCCGGAAGGCACTTCAGCAGGAACAGCAACAGCGACATGTAGAGCATCACCCCGCAGCATCATCGTCGTCACAGGGTGACTTGTCAGCAGGAGGTTCAACTCCGGGTAGGAAATCCTGATCACTGTTTTGGTCCTGGTGGGGGTCATGGAGCAAGACCAGCTTTCATTCCCACTCCAGAACGTGTTTACAACCACCACCTGTAAAGTGGGTGGCCACCTCAAAAGACGCTGCACAACTGCCGACGAACCTATCTTCTCTCCAGTAGGAAAATGGCAACTAGCCAAACAAGG